GGCCATCTCGGCACGCCCCTCACGAGGATCGCGGCCCCACAGGAGCTCCACCGAATGCCCCGATGGCGGGGTTCGCATGGCGGCCTCGGGCCATTTCGGCGCGGCCTCCGCGAGGATCGCGGCCCCGTAAGGAGCTACGCCGAACGCGCCAGTGGCAGGGCTCGCTCGGCGCACCCCTCGCGAGGATCGTGGCCCCATAGGAGCTCCACCGAATGCCCCGATGGCGGGGTTCGCATGGCGGCCTCGGGCCATTTCGGCGCGGCCTTCGCGAGGATCGCGGCCCCGTAAGGAGCTACGCCGAACACGCCAGTGGCAAGGCTCGCTCGGCGCACCCCCCGCGAGGATCGTGGCCCCATAGGAGCTCCACCGATGGCGCCAGCGGCGGGTTTGCATGGCGACTTCTGGCCACTTCGTCACACCCCTCACGAGGATCGCGGCCACAAAAGGAGCTCCAAGGCACCATTGGCGGGGTTCGCACGGCGGCCTCGGGCCATTCCGGCACGCCCCTCGCGAGGATCGTGGCCCCGTAGGAGCTCCACCGAAGGGCAAGTAGCAAGGTTCGCATGGCGGCCCCGCTTTATTTCGGCACACCCGTCGCGAGCTTTATTTCGGCGCACCCCTCGCGAGGGTCGTGACACCATAGGGGGCTCCACCCGAAGGCGCCAGTGGCAGGGTTCGCACGGCGGCCTCGAGCCATTTCCGCGCACCCCTCAAGAGGGTCGCGGCCCCGCGAGGAGATCCGCCGAGGGTGCAAGTGGCCAGGTTCGCATGCACTTTCGCCTTGGGCCGTCGGCTGTCCGGCGCGCTGCCCCCTCGGCCGACGTCGCCCAGGCGTGATCCTGGACTGCGGCCGCCACGAGGTTGGGAACGGCAAGAAGGAGGACGACGACAGGTGGCTGGAGCTCTACGCATTGCTCGCGCGCGCCAAGCGCCACGAGGACCTCCTGCTCACGCGGGCGCCGCGCGTCGAGTCCTTCCTGGCAGGGCCGCCGGAGGGCTTGCGGAAGCAGCTGAAGCAGTTTGCGGCGCGCGCAGCGGTGCTGGAGGGAGGCGACGGCCCTCGTCAGGGAGTTGGGCTTCACGGATTTATCCGCGAGGCTTGACCCGATGAGAGGCCCGCCCGAGCCGCCGTCTCTCGACGGCCTGACAGTTTGGCCTTGCGCTGCGGACGACCCGCGCGCGTCGCCAGGGCCGTCTCAGGGCGACCAGCGCGCGTCGCGGGAACTCCACGCTGCGCTTTGCCCGGCGCCTCGCCCCCCCCCTTCGTCGGTCTGCCCAGCGGCCGGAGCCTTGCCCGCTATCAGCCAGCCAGCTAGCTCTTTCTGCTCCGCGCTGGGCCCGCGCGCGTCGGCAGGGCCCCTTCGGGTCGACCGGCGTGCGTCGCCGGGATTCCGCGCGGCGCCGCGCCCGCGGCCTCGGACACTGGCGCGCGCGGGCAAACAGGGTGGGAAATAACGGGAAGTAAGCGGGCGCGACCCTTGCGGGGGGCGCGCCGACATGGGCGTAGACTCACGCGCGCACAGACTCCACAGTCAGACTCATTCGTGCTCAGACTCACCCGCTCTCAGTCTCTCGCACACAGACCTATCGTCTTCGGTTGTATCGTGCACCCCGCCACGAATTTCGGCGCGCCCCTCGCACGGTTCGTGGCCACGCGGGCGAAGATGGCGTTCACAATTGCGGCACTCATAACTTCGCATGGTTGGGCTCTCTTCGCCAAGCTAATTGTTATGTTTCCTGGGGCTGGCACACATGCATGGATGAGGTATGGGCTTCAGATTTTGTTTCGGGATTCCATGGTGCCAGTCGGGTTGGCCTGAAGCTGGATCGGTGTGAGCCGCGTGCTCTTGCTTCCGCATCTCAGATCCCGCCCATGTCGGCAGCAGACCCCACTGCGACGCCACGCGATACTGGGGCTCCTGAGGCAAATCAGGGAGATCCAGATGCACCAGGTTTCGAGGGTCTCCAACACTCTAGGACTGCGGCGGCTGTCTCCGCTGCCCCTTCCCCCGCCCTCTCCCATTTTCACAGACGCCATGAGACAACGCATGACGCAACGTCGCCATGCTGCTAGGGAGCACAGAGCTGCAACAATTGGCGCGGATAGACTAAAACGCCTGACAAATGTGACCCCCTGGACGGGCGACCCTGAGTTCGGCGCAGGGGTATCCGTAAGGACTTCGCCCAAGTGCCGCCGACCCCCCTCTTTTAGAATGGGAATTGCCAGCGCTGTGTTGTAATGTCTGGGCGCTGTCGTGGAGCAGTCTCGGGACTTCACGCGAGGGCCAATATTAGCTTACGAGGGTGTATGGCTTCGGTGGCGCGAGTACCAACTATTGAACGATGGTTTATGGTTTCGGGGACATTTGCGGAGAGGTTTGTGGCCTCGGGGACGCAACGATGGCGTAGTTTACTAGGGTTTATGGCCTCGGGGGCGCAACTATTATGTCACTTACGAGGGTGTATGGCCTCCGGGACGCGAATATTACGATTTTGCGTGGGTGTGTGGCTTCGAGGACACAGCGATTGTGTAATGTACGACGGTGTATGGCTTCGGGGGCGGAAATATTGTATACTCTACTGTGTTTTATGTCCTCGGGTGCACGAGCATTCTGTAATCTATAAGGATTGATGGTCTCGATGGCGCGATTATTTTTTATTTACGAAGGTTGAAGGCTTCGGGGGCGCAGGTATTGAGTAATTCACGACGGATTGTGGCTTCGGGCACGCAAGTACGGTGTAATCTACTCGGGTGCATGGCTTCGCGGACCCGAGCACGGGGCAATCTACGAGTGGTTATGGTTTGGGGGACGCGAGTGCAATGTACTTCTACGTGTCCCACGTTCCCCCACGAATTCAGGCTACGCGATTTGGGCGTCATAAGAAAGCTGGTTCGGGACTCCCCCCCTCGCGCGTTCAGCAACAATTAACAGTAAGGAAGCAAACAGCAGGACTGTAACATTAGAAATTGGAAACTGCAACTGGCACGGGGAGCAGCTTGGTGACCCCGCAAGGGGGCGTTCGAATTTGACAGGACGTGCCGGTGACGGCCATGCAAGCAGATAAAAATTGTAAGTCCGAGCGAAATGGCGGCCTGGCACTGCTGTGGCCGCCGCCGCAGCCCCTCCCCCGACAAAAGCACCGCCAGGCCAGCCACAACTGTGGGAGCTGTGGTCCTTCCCTCCCTGGGGGACCCCTCGATTTCGACACCCCTCTCGAGAGATCGTCGATGCGATGGGTTCCCTCAGAGGGGGTAAGGACCACAGCTCCCCCAGTCATGGCTGGTCGGAGACCGCCCCTGCTCGCCTTCTCCGACGAGGCCTCCCTGTCGCCCCACGGGCCCACGTGAGCCCACCCGGGCCGACTGGCGAACCCGGGGCGCGCCACGCGTGCGAGGCCCCCACAGCCACCCCCCCCCCGCCTCCTCCTCCTCCTCGTCCTCCTCCTCCTCCTCCTCCTCCTCCTCCTCCTCCTCCTCCTCCTCGCTCGCTGGCGCCCGCCAGCCAGGCGCCAGCGAGCGAGACGCTTGCCGCCCCTCCGCCCGACGGGTCTGTGCGGTGATGCCTCCGCCTTCCCACCGTTCGCCCCCGCCCCGACTTGGTGTCGGACAGCGGCGGGCGAGGGTTGCGAGCCCGCCCGGGGCCTGGCCGAGGCCAGCGGTGCCCCGAGGCCCGCCGCGCGCGCGAGGCCCTCTCGGGGCCCCTCCCCGCGCCCGCAGGCCAGGTGCCAGCGAGGCAAAAACGCTTGCCGCACCCCCACCCCGTGGTATTTGCGGCACTCACCTTCCCGCCTCTTGGTGTCTGGCCTCTCTCTCTCTCTCTCTCTCCTTTTCTCTCCCTCTCTCTCTCTCTCTTTCACTTCCCCACCTTAGCGCGCAGATGCCCGAAGTGTCGTGCCGTGTGCAAGGGGCCAATGTGCACGGGTCATCAGAATTGCGACCGTTGCCCTCCGTTTTGTCTGCCAAATTTTTGTTTGACGTGTGTGCGGGCGTGTCCCATGACAACCTGGCCCCTTCATGCTGAGTTCTCAAGCCAAGGAAAGATGTGTCCCAGCTTGCTGCGCCCTGCTATGCAAGGGGTCTGGCGGCGAGCATGGTCAGGCGGATCCGACGGCGGGTCTGGCTACTCCCAAGCCCCCCTGAGGTGGAGACAGCTGTAGAGACAGTCTGGCGGCGTTCATGGTCAAGGTGGCCTGCTGTCGGCCTCGTCGCACACAGCCCTGTGGTCCCGCGCCCGCCCGGACCCAGCAGCAGGCGTTCGCCGTCGACGCTGCAGTCTAACGCACCCTTCGACCTGCAGGTGCTCGTCCTCCTCCCCCCGCAGTGCGCTGATCACCGCTGTTGACTCTTGCCCTGCCTCTCTCCGTGCCAGGGGGAGAAGATAATTTGCACATTCAGGTATTCAATGGACTTGCAGGCGCACCATTTTGGCCTCCTGCACCGCATCGCGACATGCCACGTTGTCTACCTCAGCCTGTCTTTGTTTGCACACTTGGCAAAACACCGAGAGCCGTTGTGAACCTTCCTGCTCTTTCCCAGAGAGCAATGATAGCCGCCCTGTTTCCGCCGTTGCCTCGTTCTCACCGTGCTGAGGCGAAGATAACTTCTCCAACTCAGGTACTTCGAATGGCCGCAAAGGTCGTCTGCGCTAAAAGGCAGCTCGCTTTCCTGCCAGCTGGTACTGTCTGCCTGCTTTGCTTCACCCAGGTGCCCCAGCAGAGATGTTGTATCACTAAGTTCTGGCCTTGGCTCACAGGCCCAGTGCTGAATCTGCTTGGCTACACGTAAGAATGACCCTTCGCCGGAGTGACCTTGAGTGCGGGCCCACCGGGGTCTCCCGATCGTCGAACACGGTGCGATCGTTGCGTCTGGCGCGCTCGCGTTTCGCCCCCCCGCGGCTCCCAAAACAGCCGCGCACCAGAGGTCGTTTTTATCCAGGGTCACTCTTGCGTGTAGTCGATCCGCGTCGAAGCCCACAAATCCCTCCGCCTTCCTCCTCGAGGTGGTCGACTTCACGCGCGGCGGCTACGTCGTCGGCCACCTCGACGAAGTCGAGCCTGGCAGGCCTCCCCCCCCGCGCGCGGGCGCGCTTCTCGACGTCGTCTCGCGATTCCCCCCCCCCCCCCCCAACAGCAGGAGGAGGAGGAGAAGGAGGAGGAGGAGGAGGAGGAGGAGGAGGTGGACGCGTTGGGCGGGGTGGGAGCAGGAGGGGGAGGATGGGAATCTCTGCCATCCGTGGATCTTAGTCACTTCCATCACCCGATCTCTGACCAAGTAGGCGCATGCATACTCTGTGCAATAGCGGGCCCTCGCTGCTCCTTTTCCCTAATCTGATTGTTTTTGCAAGGGTGCTGCGCCCACCCAGGTCTAATGTGTAGGCCACCGTGCCGAAGTCGGTTCAGAGCTTTTCGTATTTTTCACGCGAGCGCTTCGAGCCTCGGTGCTTAGAGGCTGGCCATCGTCAGGAGTGTGGCAGGGGAGGGGGTGGGGGTAGGGGGGCAGCACTGGGATGGCCAGGATGAGGGGGGGGGGGGGGAAGACGAGGAAGGAGGAGGAGGAGGAGGACCAGTGTACGTAAACCCAAGAGTCATCAACGATGTTGGAATTCACCCTCCCTCCAAGCTCCTTTTTCATAGGCCCCTACAACGGTTCATTTCCATTGAGGGAACTGCCTCGTTAGAAGACAACCGTTTGAAGACCCTGAAGCATGCCAATATTGTTCTAGGGATTTCCACGCCACGGTTCAACCTGACTGCTGCGTCCTGACGATCTGGATTCGTGCCAGAACGCCATTTGTCGGACTTCAACACCGCGAATCAACATAACTACTGCACTGGCATAACCCTGAATCTTTCAAAGCACCATTTCTGGGGCGTTGATCTTGGGAATCAATGGAACCATTGCATTCGTTATAACGAATGCGCGCGGCGCGAAGGCGAGAGCCACATTTTGAAAACCACCCGCCCTCAATCCGTGAAGCTCCTGCAATGTTTACAACGAATGTGTGCGGCGCTGAGGCGAGAGCCAGATTTTGAAAACGACTCGCCCTCAACCCGTGAAGTTCTGACAACTGTTGAAAGCAACTGTGCGCGGCGCTAAGGCGAGAGCCAGATTCTGAAAACGATTCGCCCTCAATCCGTGAAGGTCTTGCAATTTGTAAGACGACTGTGCGCGGCGCCAAGGCGAGAGTCACATTTTGAAAACGGCCCGCCCTCAATCCGTGAAGCTCTTGCAAATTTAAACGACTGCGCGCGGCGCTAAGGCGGGAGACATATTTTGAAAACCACCCGCCCTCCATCTGTGAAGTTGTTGCCATTCTTTATCTCAGGCGAAACGCCCGGCCCGCCCTAAAAGATGGCCCCGGGTGCGACAGGGAGAAGCTATTTCATATATATATATATATATATACATGAGGGAAAGGAATAGAGGAGGAACGTAAGCCCAAGATGCATCAACGATGCTGCAATACTCCCTCCCGCACCATGTCCTCGTTCCTTTAGTCCCCGGCGATCGAGTTTATTCTCTCGCTTTGGGCATGGCTCCCCGCCTTGACCGACGAACGCCCCGGAGGGCCTGCCCTTCGGGCGGGGCGCCGCTTGGCAAAGCGCCAGCTGCTCCTCCGTGCAGGCTCCAGGCGTGCCAGGAGAGATGGCACGGCGTTTCGAGGAAGTGCCCCGCGAGAGCTCCGTCCGTGCAAGCGTTGCTAGGGGAACGAGCAATGCCACAAGCCTAAGAAACTCGGAGGTCCGCGCGGGTTTCTCGGATCGGCGCTTGAACTCCCCCTGCGGCACCTCCGGCGCCGCCCCTAGTACGCTCCGCGCGCCAGGGAGGGGGGTCCAGCGCCGATCCGAGAAACCCGCGCCCGAGCTTTTATGTTTATGTCATTGTTCGCTCCCCTTGTTGCATAACTCCCAAGTTGTTGCCGACTAAGACGTATTAGCTCTCAAGCGAGAGCCCCGTTGAAGGAAGGAGTCGCCCGCCATCCGCGCAGCCGTCGCGCAACTTTCAGTTTTGGCCCGTAACACCCGATCAAGTCTCAAGCGAGAACAACATTTGAACACGCGTCGCCCTCCATGCGTGCACATGCTGTAAGCATGTAGGACACATGTATGCGACGCCAATGGGAGAAGCCGATTTTGAAACTGACTCGCCTTCCGCCCGTGTACCTATTGGATGTTACACGAGGGTTGTGCGCGGCGTTGGGGCGATAGCCCCAGCTTGAAAATGACGTGCCTTCCATGCGTGTCAGTGCTGGCTTTTCCGAGCCAGTGTGCCAGAAGCCGAGGCAAGAGCTTCAGTTTGGAAGCAGCGTGTGCCCCATCTGTGACAGTGCAGCTGTCTGGACTTGCAAGCGCCGGGGATAATCAGTTATGACGTGGTCTCGAGAATTTACTTCAGCCCGCCCTGACGACACACCTGATGGAGCGACAGGGAGGAGGAGGAGGTAGCTGCAGGCCTGTGAGGAACAGGGGTGGGGCATCACGAGGAGGTAGCCAACGAGCGCAGGGGGGGGTGAGGGGGAGCTCACGAGTCGGGAGGCGGGAGGAGGAGGTGGAGGGCGAGAGTCGTGGGGAGAGGAGAAGGCGGCCTCCGTTCCTCGTTTGGCGCTCCCCATGGCAGCGCGACGACTGTACGCGCAGCCCTTCTCTCGGGTCGTTGCTGCTGCGGCCTCCTCGGCCTCCTTCACGCTCCTGGCCGCGCCGCGCCCCTCTGGCCTCCTCCTTCGCGCCCCGAGGTTCATGATGCTCCTCTACGTCCCCGACGACACCAGCCGGGGCGACGCCGTGGGTCGCTGCCTTCGTTCTGCCCACAAGTCTTGCTCCTCCGGCGGTGCGGAGGAGTACAGGAGGGGTGCGACGACGAGAGCGAAGTCGCGAGGAGGGACCTGGAGATCTGTGCGTGGCATTATTTTTCGCACTGGGCGTGTT